CATGTCTTGATTTCAATAGTTTCCAGCACCACACGAAAGGAATAACATATTATGACACTTACTTCATTAACTCCTCTTTATTTATTTAAGAGTTAATTAGATAACACCATACTTGGCTCATATGCATATGTTATAGCATAAACTGCAGGGGTGGATCGAATGGTGGTAAAGGGGATGGCTAGACACCTAGATGGCTAGAAACTAACATTACCTATACAACTCTCCACAGATGACCCTGATGACCCTGATGGAATTCCTTTTGGTGTTGAGCAACAACGTTAGTTTCAAAACAGCTTGATAAATATTAATGGAGCTTCAATAATAACAATATAAATTTATCCCTTTAGTAGAAAGTTTGCCATATGATGTTGATGATGTTAATATTTATGATGGCACAACTAATGCTGCTGATGATGATGGTGATGATGGTGGTGGTGAAGATAATGATGGTGAGGATATTAATGATAGTGATAATGACAGTTAATAGTGGTGATGGTGGGTATGATGACGGATGGTGGTGATAGTGATGAGGATATGGTGCTGATGATGATGATGATGATTCACGGTTATATACTAAATTAAGCCTATTTCCTTTACAGCGATGTTATTGAGTGTTTTTTTCGAAAAAGACGCAGAGAATATTAGAGCCCTATCTCGCTACCTTGACAGAAGGTCGTTGGTGATAAAGAACTACGAAGACCTAGCAAACCGCTTGAATGCCCCTACGTTAATAAAAGCGAAGTGCAAAAGCAACACCACCGAACACAGTCCAACATTAGATCTCATGCAGTCGCCTAAGGTTTCGACTCTTAAAGTAAATGTGCTGGTGAGAAATTTAAGGGCGATCTCAAGAAATGATGTGGCCAATCTAATAGAAAAAGGAATTCCTGGTAAATTATTTTATGTTAGGATTGTTCGTCACATATACGCAATGCGTTTCACGGGGATGAGTGGGAAACGATACGGCAAATTCGCAGCCATACTGATTGTAGTCATACCTTATCTTACCGTTACTTCTTGTTGCATATATAGTTGCATGAAATACTTGAAGACAATGGGAAGTCATTTAAATGGTTACGGCATGACGTACCGTGTACGTGCTGTAAGTCAGTACTACCGTTTGTTTCCCACTCATACGATAACCATTCTTATGGGAAGCCACTTCAATGTTACGGCACGTTTACCATTTATGTGCTGTAAGTCAGTACCTAACTTTTCCAACTCCGTACGATAACCATTTTTATGGAAAGCCACTTCAGTGTTACAGCATGTCGTACCGTGTACGTGGCTGTAAATAAGTCAGTACCGTATGTTTCTCACTCATGCGATGACATCTATTCTTTAATTTTTAGTGAGTTATACATGCTAGACACATCCTGAGTCTCATGGAATGTGTTTAACTTTCCATGGATACACGTTAATTGCGTTTATACATATTCCTGAAACGTTGAGACCATTTTTATATCATTGAATTTTAATTTTTTTTTTAAATTTTAATTTTATAGAAAATCAAAGGGAATGGCTTAATGTAAAAGACGCAATAAATGACTACGGGGAACTGTTTGATGAAGTTGCAAGTAAGCTTGATCCAAAATCTATAAATGACTGGAAAATTCTTGGCCGCAAACTTGGATTTCAATTTGACGAGCTGAAACAGATTGGATTAGGGTGCAATCCAACAGAACGTCTTTTGGTGGACTACGTGTATACAACAATGAATCCAGAGGAATTGACAGTAGCACGGTTCCGACATCTCATGGAAGAAATAGAAAAACCCAATCTTCTCCGAAAATCTGGAATCAATGAAAGTAAGTTTTTCATTTCATTTTTGGTCCGTCAGGTTATGGATAATTCACGGTAGACGTACAGTATACTTTGATTTCGATACCAATCGTATTAAGTTTATTACAACAGCAGCGACATTAAAACAATTCGATCTGAAACCATGCAAGCAATTAATAATCTTTGCTGAGTGGAAAACTCACTAACTTTACAATAATTGAAATAACATATGTACTTACTTCTATGGGGTATCTAAATTAAACACCATAGTCTTAACTTTTCTAGGTTAAAAGATATAACTAGCTAAAAACTAGTGTGAGCTGCGTCGGTGTTTCTAATGAAACAGTAATGATGAAAAGGTAAATTATACACCGTGAAAAG